ATTTCCTCATATGACCCATGAAGTTTCCCGTAGTGTCAGTTAGGCTAATTTGTACCTCTATGGGAATCTGCATTTGGGTTCCTTTTATTTTTTGCATATTTCAGGATGCTCCCTTTTCATTCCTCCCATTTATCTTAACTTATTCTTTCTTTACAGCTAAGAAAAAGGAAAGATTAATTATTTAAACACCTCCTTGTGCAAGACAGAGCACTAAGAACTTCACAGACATTATCTTGCTTACTCCTTACAAACTCTGAGGCAGATATCACTCCCACGTTAAATGTGAGGAAATTGAAACCCGGAATGACTAGGTAATCAGCCCTGGCCTCCACAGCCGGTCAGTAGTAGAGCCAGGATTCAAAGCCAGCTCTTCTGCCTCCATTACCCTTGCTCTTAACAACGCTACCAGGGGGATTCATATGCGCTTGGGCCTCCTCCCTGCTCATAAGGAGCTCAGTTCTTTCAGATCTATACCTGGAGTGAGGTGGCCTCATAAGGACCTTGTGTCAGTTCCATCAGCTGCTGGACTTAGGCATGAGCATCTTCAGCTCCAATTCTTAGATCAGCTGGCTTTGCTGGCGTCAGACAGATGCTCTTTGTACGAGCGTTGTACGCTGCCCAGCATTTGCTACAATCCAGGGATGCTCCACTCTCCACCCTTTTGCAAGGTTTCATTTTTTTTTTTTTTGGGGGAGGAGATCAGCCCTGTGCTAACATCTGCCAATCCTCCTCTTTTTTTGCTGAGGAAGACTGGCCCTGGGCTAACATCCGTGCCCATCTTCCTCCACTTTATATGGGACGCCGCCACAGCATGGCCTGACAAGCGGTGCGTCGGTGCACGCCCGGGATCCTAACCTACTAACCGCGGGCCGCCGCAGCAGAGCGCGCGCGCTTAACTGCCTGCACCACTGGGCCGGCCCTGCAAGGTTTCTTTGTGGTGACTGTACATCCAGGGGTGCAGAGTCCCTCTCCCTCCTGAGGCTGCAGTTGTGCCAAAAATTGACACCTGTCGTCTCTAAACTGCAGGTGAAAGCGAGGAGCTGAGGGACACTGAGGGGTGGGCATCGACCAACTCCAGCTAGCTCAGATGGTGGCTGGGCAATAAGGGTCTTGATTTCCAGGCAGTGCAGCTCCTGTGTCCTGAGTTAGAGGCAGTGGCTGAGTTGGGGCTTTTATCCTACTTACTCTGCAGCTAATTTGCGTTGATGAATCCAATGATTGACACTGGAGTTAGCATCAATTCCCAGTGGATTTTGGCAGAGGGCTTCCATTTATCTTTAGTCTCTAGTACTATTTCAGTCTCTGTGGGTATTTTTACACCATGCTGGGAAAGGACAGTCGGAGACTGCTAATCCCCGGCCACGTTTAACACACGCTTAATGAGCATCTGTATCATGTGACGGTTTGGGATTTAGACTCACTTGTAAAGAACATACATGGATTGTCCCCATCAGTCCCCACACTTACTGACACAGACCAGAGAATCTAGATTCCTCCAATGTAAGATTTCTAGGCTCTCTCCTTGGATGTAGGAAGTTCCCACAATATGAGCTATCCCTACAGCCCTGTGGATTAGTAAAATTGTCTTATGACAATTTTCAAATGACATTTTTTAAAAAAATGATTGTACTAACAAATGCTAAGTGTTGGAAATAGAATTAAGGGTTGAGCTGAGGTGTTTTCCAGTCTGTGAGACGTAGCTGAGGAGGCTGAGAGCCAGGTCAAAGTGACCTCATAGGTTTTGCCGTTCTTGAGAGTTATCTGCTGCAGAAAAAAGCTCTTTATACTTTGAATTGTGGAAGCCCCTTGGCACACAGAGGATTTCTTGCCTCAATAAAGCTGAGGTAAGGACATTATAAAATGCTACTAGATTTTTTTCCCCCCTTTCAGAAGCATCCAAGTTATTTTGTACTTCTATGGCCAAAACTACTATGGATAGGGCCAGCCCCGTGGCTTAGCAGTTAAGTGCCCGCGCTCCGCTACTGGCGGCCCAGTTTGGATCCCGGGTGCGCACCGACGCACCGCTTCTCCGGCCATGCTGAGGCCGAGTCCCACATACAGCAACTAGAAGGATGTGCAACTATGACATACAACTGTCTCCTGGGGCTTTGGGGAAAAAATAGAGGAGGAGGATTGGCAATAGACGTTAGCTCAGAGCCGGTCTTCCTCTGGATTAGCATGGATGTTAGCTCAGGGCTGATCTTTCTCACAAAAATCAATCAATCAATCAATCAATCAATCAATCTACTATGGATAAAGGGAGTTAACAAATGCATCAAAAATATTAAATGTATAATTGGAAATCCCAAACTACACTAAGTGCCCCTCATCTGTCTCCCCATGTCACCCATTTGTGATGGTCAGTCTTCTGTGTCAATACAACGTCATCATGTTTTATGTGTTTACAAAGACTCACCAGTTGACTTTAAGTAGATGATCCTCAGTAATGTAGGTAGGCCTCATTCAATCAGTTGAAGTCTTACGAACAAAAACTGAGGTTTCCCAGAGAAAGACTTCTGCCTTAATTCTGCAATATGGAAAGCCTGCTGGCCTGCTCAATAGATTTAGGCTTGCCAGCCCCTATAACAGCATAAGAAAATTCCTTAAAATAGATCTCTTTATACATACATACGTGTGTGTGTGTGTGTGTGTGTGTGTGCATACCGTCATGCACCACATAACGACGTTTTGGTCAACAATGGACCGCATATACAATGGTGGCCCCATAAGATTAGTGCCATCTAGCTTAGGTGTGCAGTAAGCTACACCATCTAGGTTTAGTGTAAGTACTACACTCGAGACGTTTGCACAGTGGTGAATTCTCCTAATGACGCATTTCTGAGAATGTATCCTTGTTGTCAAACGACGCATGACTGCATGTACATACACATAACACTCTAAAACGTTTTACTTGGCTCTTGTCCCTACTCAACTGTAAGCTCAGGGATGTGGACTATGTCTCACACATCTTTGTATCCTCAAATTCCAGCACAGTGCCTTCCTAAACTTTAGTACTCAGTAAATATTTTGAACTAATGGATGAATAGAATAACCCCCTCATAAAGACTATCAGATCAGGAGATAAGTGACAACTGAGGCAAGGATGATTAATAGGGGAACTAGGAACCTCGGGCAAAATTAGGCTGGAAGGCAGGCAGCTCAACTTCTAAAGTAGCCAGAGGTACGTACCACAAGCCAGGAAAGCCAAATGCCTGGAAACTAAAACTCAGGTTTTATATCGAAAGTCTACTAAAAAACATTAGTGGAGTTTGAATCTACTCGTCATCCGACATTTGGCACTTCATTTCACCTTCTTAGGCTCAGGGTGGCTGATCCATTTGATCTCTAACACATTGTATGATTCTAAGCAAATATAAATCCAAGTTCCAAGCACACAGGAACGGAAACAGACGGCTGAAACGTGAAATGATGCTTGTTGATTCTGTGGGCTATTCTCTACTTCGTATCTGGGACGGGTGCTGGTGACTGGTATGGGAGCCCTTAGGCTCTAGGCACCAACCGTGCAGTGAATACAGTTGGCTGAAGGTTAGGACAAGATGAGAATTATAATTACAAGGAGATTAGTGCAGGGAACATGTCCAATGCAATATAATCATAAATATGGCAGTTAATGCATAAAGTTGGACTAGTTTTTGCCTTTGAAATTAACTGAACTGTTATCAACGGCTTATGAAGTGTTAAGTCAGCAGTGGGCTTTTGCTCATTCTATAGATGAGGCAAATGTGCAAACAGATAAAACTGACTTTTACAGAGTAATTATTCTTTTATCTTTTTGTATGAGAAGGAACCCTCCGTTTTAGGATGTACATAAAATGCTAGTCTCTAAATTCATGACATTGTTTTTTTAAGACTTTTTTCAAACATGTTATAGCACAGGACTGCTAACCTGTAAAAGAAATAGTAAATAGACCTGGAAGATGCTAATAGCAAAACCACTTCAGCCATAGCATGTACAGCCAGAAGTCAACGACACCCCTCAAGTACAAAAGTTAGCAGTTCACTGTTAAAGCAGGATTCCATGTTCAAACTAGAAGTTGTCATTCAATAGAATAACTCAGATCAAGAATCAACCACATAATGCAACAACAGACAGGAGGCTGTGTTCATATGAAGAAAAACAAGAACAAAATTAACAATCAAACCTCATTTCCTTGGACATAATATTGATGGTAAGATTTCTAAGTAATCATCCCTTTATTTAGTTTAGATAAAGACTTCCAGCATGGAACACTGTTAGGAAGTAACCATTAGGAGCTGTGTAAAAGGGATGTAAGGGTAGTACTACACAAAGACAAAATAGACAAACACAATTTTTAATTCCTTGTAGACTTTATTGCAGGTTACCATGTTGTGAAAACAAAAGCAGATCGTTCTTAATGTGTCAAATTTGTTAATTAATTTAAATCAAAATATATGACCCCCCTAATCACACAGATAATCCTAAATCTACTTTGAAAAGCTGATCAATCAAGAAGTATCTATTTGGAGACTGTGTACCTACTATCATATTATACCAAAGATAAGGCTGTTGTCCTCACAGAATATAAGGATCATTGGTAATCAACCACTAACACAGCGAATGTACTAAAATTTGGGGAAATATTGGAAAACTAACAAATTTTCTGGACATTGTTTATCTTGCCTTTCCAAGAGACTTGTAGATCCAAATGAGATTAGTTTGGAAAACAGGTCTTGTTTAATCCAGAAAACCTTCAGAGTCCAATACAGTTCTAGACTAATCAGAGACTAAAGAACCTTTATAAAGAGAAGTACTCTTGGAAATCAAGCAGTCTTATTTTGAATTAGCATGTTTTACTCAAAGGTATGGAATTAATGATCAAGTATCCGTAATTTCTGTAATGCACCCCAATGCCATGCCCACTAACACTCTACTTCCTACTACAATGACTCCTTGATTAGAGGTAGAAGGCTTAAAGAATATTGCCACCTATAAAATAACTTGTACTCCAAAGCCCATGATCTCTAAAGCCAAATCTTGGTTTTTAATACAAGAAATTCACTGAATCAAATGAATGCTAAATAAAGCAAAGATAGTGTAAGGAAAACTGGGGTAAGAAACCTCTAATTACTGGGAAATACATGTAAGAATTAATCATGATAAGAGAAGAATCATCTTTCCAGTAGCCCCACTGCTGTGAATGATATCTTCATGAGCCTGGGCCACCTTCTCCAATGGATACTGAGAACCTATTACAGGTGTCAACCAACCGACTTCCATCCCAGCTTGAAGGGCTGCTGCGAACTGCTGAAATTCCTCCTAAGGAAAAGGTTTTTTTTTTTTATAGAAGAACATATGACATTTTTCAGAAGCATTAAAAATTTTCAGAATCTAAGAGTTAGAGCATAAAGATTTCCTACAAATGTGTGGATTTTGTCAACTTGTCCAGAACTACAGAAAAAGTAGTTCTCTATAGGACAACCATAAGTCCAATTTGTCTGAGACAGTCTCAGTTTACTAAATACCTATTGTGCTAGAGTAATTACTAACAGTATCTCCTGTCTCTCTCAAAAGTGTCCTGACTTGGAAAATAGATTATATTGTCTCCATAGTTATCTTCTAGTGACTAATCCTTAACCCACTGGCCTAGTCAGATAACTAAGTCTAACACCTACTTAAACTTTCAGTCTGCCTGACTAGGCAAATTGTATCAATATTTAAGTTACCAAAATCAGAATCCCTTCTTTTCCTACCTTGGTTGATGAATAGAGAGTAACTCCAATTATACTAGATTCCTTTACCATGGTGTCCCGTGGGTTTATTTCAATAGGACCTCTGCTGCCAACAACCTATTATGAAAAACAACAAGTATATAGTCAAAGATTACTGCAAAATAGCTTTAAATTACGGTAAAACGTCAAAGTGGTAAAAAAAATGAAATACTTACTATTACTCGTCCTCCACGTGACAGAAGATTCAAATCATTACTGAGATTTACATTGGCTAACATTTCAATAATCACATTGATTCCTTTTTCACCAACAGATTTCTGTATAATATAAAAGAATGCAGAGTCAGATAAGAAAACAACTAAAAAAAACTGTAAAATAGTTATCATAGTCCCATATATTACAGAAATGTGTTTCAACTGACATAAAATGCTACATTTTTAAGACTAATAATGCAAATTGTAAAATGATCTAAATATATGGTGATGATGTAATTCCAAGGAACCAGCCACAACACTGAAAATGATAAAGATTTTTGCTAAATAAATTGTTATAATGAAATAAAATTTGTCTAGAATTTTTAGGTGCTTAGACTCAACTTGATATAAAATACTTCTTCCTTAGCTAAAAATTTTCTATCTTCAAAACGTATTTCCATAGAAAAACAAACAACAAATAAAAAATCCAAAACCCCAATGGGGCTCCCATTTTCATTAAAAAATAAAAATCAAAAGATAAAAAATCATTGGCTGTTTGGTGATGCACGACTTTTTTTGTTCTAAGTGTGTTACAGTCAGCTTGGCACCCTACTTCTTTTCTTTTGGGCTCTCAGATGTTGGTTCCCAGCATCCAAAACTGGCTCTTAGATAAGCTATACATGTCTACCTTATATTCATTTTATTTTAACAAAAAGATGAGTATCTGTGTCAGGCACAGAGCTTGGTACTGGGAATTCAAAGATGGACATAGGGAGCTCAAAACAAAGCTAGGGAGAAAGATGGAAAATACAGCTGTCATAGCTGTAATGTAATGGGCTAAGCACTACATTAGCAGAAATAAACCATAAGTTATAGAGAAAAAAAGTTACAACTCTGATCACCTGTAGAGGTCAGAGAAAGCTCCACAGAGATGATGACGTAGGCACTGAGGGATGAACAGGAGTTCCTTAAGCAAAAAAGAGCAAAGAGGAGCAAAGGGAAGCAGGGTCAGTCTGGACAGAAGAAACAGAAAAGCAAAGACGTAGGGACTGAGAGTACAACTCAGGCCTGGAAAGTAGCACAGCAGAGCTGGAGTGTGTAACTGAGGAGGTGGGGAGCAGGGAAGAGGTAGGAAGAGACTGTAAATTGGTACAGATTGTGAAAATACATTGAGTGCCATGTTAAAGGATTTGGATGAGGTATGATTATTCCTCCAAAGCATCCAGTTAACAAATAAACTTTATTCCCTAGATTAGACAGATCCAGTTTGTAATCTGTGGATACCTCACCTTCCATGGAAAATTTACACCAACAGAAATTATATTAAAAACACCTTGTGATTGCCAGAGGCAGGGAGTGGGGTGGGGAGGTGATATGGGTGAAGGGGTCAAAAGGTACAAACTTCTAGTTACAAAATAAATAAGCCATGAGGATGTAATGCACAGCATGGGGACTTAGTTAATAATACCATATTGCATATTTGAAAGTTGCTACGAGTAGATCATAAAAACTCTCATCACAAAAAAAAATTTTTCTATGTATGGTAACGGATGCTAACTAGACTTACTGTGACGATCATTCTGCAATATATACAAATATCGGGAAAAAAAACCCTTCACAACTGCAAATGCAAAGCTGTGGCTTTACTTAAAATGTGATTTGCACTAAGAGTACCAATTTTTATAGCTATAAGACTCTAGAGAGGCTATATTTTATTTGATAAATATAAACAAGACAGAAATGATAGTGAAGATTTGAAAATTAGACACCTTTGTTTTTAAATTAATTAAAACTTTAAGACACACAGGCATTAAAAATGGAGTAAACAACTTCAAGAGAGCGGTTGATAAAAGAACTTACAAAAAAAGTGTTGTTACAAAAAAAAAAAAGTATGTCTCCCAAGAAACAAAATGTTACTTTTATAAAACTGTAGAATAATTTTACCTTAATTTTATCAATATAATTAACTTCTCTGTGATTAAACACTTCATGGGCTCCATTTTGTAAAACAATGTTTCGTCCTTCCTCAGTACCAGCTGTGCCCAAAACCTTTAAGCCATAAGCTCTAGCAATTTGGCATGTCGCTAGTCCAACCTGAAAAACAAAATATAACCCAGGAGTTTTCGATTCTTTGCATCCCTGCAAACATCTATTAAATATATATAACGAACTTATGGTGCTTCTAGGTCCTACCCTGTCCTCAAGGAACTTCGAGTCTCAATGAAGAAATGAGAATACTAGTTAACTTTTATTGAGCATTTAAAATGAATGTGTCAGGTACCAAGCTAAATACTTCCTATGCAGTGCTTTATTTCATCCTCACAATGAGCCTAGGAAGTAGATATTATTATTGTCCATACTCTATAGATGAGAAAACTGAAGCTTATAAAATATAAGTAACTTGTCCAGGTCAGAGATGGAAACAGGACCAATCCCAGAGCTGGACCAGATCAGACTGGAGAGAGGCCTGAGCTTTTAACCCTTGCATTGAAGTGTTTGCTTAGCATCTGCTTTGTGCAAAAGGTGCAGGGCTTAAAGATAATCCCAATATGCTCACTGACCTCACACTTTAACTGCACATACAAAATACTATATAACAAATGTAAGGCCTCTCCCATTTAAGTGAAAGACACGTACATGGGCAAATTAATTTATTCATCCATATGATGATCATTTATTGAGAGTTTACTATGTGCTAGACGTGGTACTTCATGCAAGAAACTTACATCGTAAGGAAGGGGGAAGATAATAAATACACGAACAAATAAATGAATAAAGTAAATTCAGAAAATGAAAAGTGCTGTGAAAAAAATAAAACAGGCTAATGGGTTAGAAAGAGACAGGGAGAGGGGCTAGTTAGGTGGTCAGGAGAGGCCACTCTGAAGAGACGAGACCTGAACGAGGTGAGGGACGAGCTGCGAGATGATCTGGGATGCCCCGTGGAGAATGTCGTGGGCAGAATGCTGTGGTGAACCTGGTGAAGTGGGAATGAGCTTGGGAGGGTCAAAGGACAAACAGAGGATCAGTGTGGCTTGAGGGCGCGGCACGTGGGAGAGAGTGGAGCGTGAGGCCAGAGGGACACAGAGAGACCAGGCACACAGGGCCTTGGAGGTCAAGGTTTTGGATTATGTTTAAGAGCTATGCAGAACTACTGGAGAGCTTAAGCAAGAGTATGATAGGATCCGATTTAGGCTTTCAAAAGAACTCTCCAATTAAATGAGAGGCAAAAAGAAGGTGAGGGGAAAATCGGAGTAGGAAGATTGGGCCTTCCTCATAGGTTGAATGTGGGAGGTGAGGAAAAGAGAAAAATCAAGGTGTCTCCTAGGTCCGTGGCCAGATCAACTGGGTAGATTAATGAGGATGAGGAAGATAAGGGAGGATCAAGTTTGTGAGAGCATCAAGACTTCACTTCAAGCATGCTGAGCTGTATACTGTTCCCGTAACTGAAGATGTTCAGCAATCAGCTGGGTAGGGGTATGGACCCGAAAGCGTTCAGAGTTGGAAATATAAATTTGAGATTCATCAGTTTGTAGATGGTATTTAAGCCATGGGATTGAATGAAACCACTAGATCATCAGATAAATGTGCTTTGTATAAAGGAGAAATAAAAGTATTTTAGGAATATAGATAAAAGCAATTATTTAAACTGCAGTACTAGGAAATATGTTTGAGTACATGCCAGATGAATGGTACAGGTAAGTGTCACATACACTTACAGCAGGGTTTCTCAAACTTGGCACTACTGACATTTTGGTCCAGACAATTCTTTGTTGTGGGGCTATCCTGTGCAGAGAAGGATGGTTAGCAGCATGCCTGGCTTCTACCCACTAGATCCCCTCTACCCAGTTGTGACAACCAAAAACGTCCCCAGACACTGCCAAATGTCCCTGAGGGGGAGGAGGGATGATGTAAAATCACCACTTATAGATAACCACTGGTGTAGAGGAAGATAAGATTCTTATGGGTTGGGCACTCATAAGGTGGGTTTGGACATTCTAAGACAGAAAAGACTTAGAATGAAAAATGATGACGGAAACTAATTAAAATTATAACAGAATCACAGATGGCTAGGCCTGAACTAGACCTTAAAGACTGTATGGCTCATGGGCATGATGAAGCTGAACTCAGCTGGGTGATGGCAGGGATCTGTTTGATTTCACCAAAACACACACACACCGACCTCACTGTCCAAGGAGGGAGAGAGACAGTCAGTCTCAGGAAATAAATCACTAAGGGGTTAGCATGATTGACTTTTTTCTACTTTAAATTTCAATTAAAAAAAACAACCAGGCTTCTATTAAAACCATGTTTTAAACTAAAGATTTACTGTAAATACATCTACTTATGCTCTGACTACCTTAATGGGCACTCAATAGCTATTTTAACGGCTCTGCTTATCCTATTCTTGTCAACAATTACACCAGCAATACTCCTTCAATAGATTATCTACCATTTTGTGTCAACTATTTTGCTTCTATTTATTTCGCTGACACTAAAATAGGGCACTCCCCAACAACATATTTGGATAAAGCTGTGTTTATAAATCTCACATCATTTTAAATACACAGCATAATCCCGAAGGTATTTGAATTAAATGAGGACAGAAAGTACAAACAGAAGCAAGACAAAACCCAGTGCTGTTTCCCTCTGATAGGGCAGGCCGCCAGCCTATCATGCCAGCTGGGGATTTAACAAACTGAGCCAGCTCAGAGAACAGTGTGGATTTTGCCTTTAAAAAAAAAAATCATGGTGAAGCAACGAGGCTTTTTACAAAAAGGTAAAGGGAATAAAAAGAGATTTTCTTTAAACTCTTCTCTCCCCTTCCTACTGAAATCTCTCCCTCCATACAGAGCACCAGGTTAGCTCTCTGAAAGCCAAAGCAATTTAAATAAATGCATGTGTTCCACAGATCCTTTCCTTCTTTAGGGTTAAATTTAATTTAACCCCAAAAGAGCCTCTTCAGTGAAGCTAAACAATGGGAGTTTTTGACAAGGTATATCTGTCATAGTTTCCCAAGTCCCATAAAGACAATCTTGGTGATTTTTAGTAAAAAGTCTGATCTGCGAAATCCTTCAGAATTGATGTATTTGAGGAACATAGGAAGCTGAATGTGAAACCCTGTGATTCATCTATAAAAAGTAACAGAAACACAATGGACTGAATTCTGTTTGTATTACCTTTAGAGGTAAATTCATTTTCAGAATGCCACTCATTATTCCGGGGACAATGTGCCATGTGATAGTTGACTTCATTGAATCTACTCTCCAGAATACAAAGTGCACCGAGAAGGGTTAACCAGCTTCTCAAGGTGAGCCATCTAGCCCCAGGCCCTTTATTTTAAAAATGCGAAATCTTGTCTCCAAAATTTCTAAAGCCTCTCCAATGAAGGATAGAGGTCATGTGGATTTCTTGTTAAATTCCAACCTCACAGCTCTAACTTTTCCTCCAAGCTCCTCAGAGGCAGACTGAGAGCCAGTCTCTTGAAGAGGTTTCTGACAGCCCTGCATTGGTGATTTCACCAAAGGGCTTATTTTATTGTCCGGAGTCCTCCCTCCCTGCCCCCCCCATCAGCATTTTAAGCCACGGGTTGTGGTGTTAAGGACACAGCCTATACTGTGCACTCCACGAGTGTCATCAGAGCTCGGCAGGCAGGCAGTGGGAAGGAGATGGGAAGGACTAAGAAGTCACAGTGTGGCTTCACAGTGCTGTCTGGGGCAACACAGGTGAAGCTTTAATGAGCCTTAGTTTCCTTATCTAAGGGAATATGGAATTTATATTAACCTTCAAGTACTCTTTAAAATTCTAAATAAATATTCTTATAATATTTGCTACCTGAAGGCAAAAGCAAAGCCAGTTTATCTTTTCCACACCCAACACAAGGGGGAAAAGCTAATACATGCATTTTTGATGGGCTAATCTGTTGAATTTTATTAACCAAGAAATGCTAAACTAATGACAAGGAATCACCTTCAGAAGACAGAATTTCAAGAAGCTTCACTACGTAAAGGAAAAAAGCACCCTTGGCTCTATTTATAAACTTGGCTTCTAAAAATGACTTGAAAGAAATATACTGTGAAACCCACAAACATAAGCTCATTTAAAATAAACTTAAAAAAAAATACTTACTCCTCCACTAGCCCCGTGAACCAGAACAGTTTCTCCAGCTTTCACATGGGCTCTGCAAAGGAAAGCACAGGTTCATCACCTGCCTTTGAAGCTAAGTAAGCTCAGGTGTTTTTCACTATTCTTAAGGAAATTCTACCCTCGGTTCAGCTAACACTTACCCCCAGAGGAAACTCATCCTGATACACAAGCCAAGATTTTCTCCAAGCTTCATGGGATCAAACAATGGTTCTTCAGAGCCACAGAGAAAAGAAAACCTTCATTCATCTATTTATTCAACACATGTTTACTGGGAGTCTGTTATGTGCCAGGCACTGTGCTGGGTGCCGGGATCACATCCGGGTGGAACCTTCTAAGAGGCTGCAGTCCGTGTAGCCGTGTTAAGTGAAACTGCTGAACTGAGAGGAACTGGAGTCTCTCATTCCCACAGGTTCCCACAGACAGCGTCTCAAAACAGGTTTAGAATAGCCCAGTCTTGATTCTGTGCTCCCGAGTAACACCCAAGGAAACGCAGCGGCTAGACTATGTAGGGAAACATTCTTCTTTCTCCATGCCCTGAACATCGGGTTGCACAGCCTGCAAGCCCTCATTTCAGAAAGCAAAGCTGAGTCAGCAGTGGGAGGAGAGTAGGAAATACAATAAATCCTGTCCCATGGGAGCCCAATAAAGGCTCCCATGTCACCCTCTAAAATGCCCAGATCCTCTGGTGAAATGACATATTCTTTTTACTTCTGGTTCATACCACTTTTCCATTATACTGAAAACAAGGCACATGCAGCAAGCCTGACAGGGGATGCTTTATTATTCCAGATGGACAAGTGCTGAGGTCACAAGCCAGTATCTGTCATGTGAGCCAGATCTGACTCTCAGGGAGGACCTCACTTCCTAGAACAATAGGGGGTGGCCACCGTGTACAGACACTCTGTGCAGTCTGGGAGTGAGAACACAGTCACACGAGTCCTGCTCGAAGCTGTGTGCCCACAGCTGACAAATGGCCATGATGAGCAGTAAATGAAGCTTTCTCCAACACTCTCTGCTTGAGATAAGGAGACTGAGGGCAGTGAGTTCAACTGAGGGTATGAAATGATAAACTGAGATCACTATCCCCAAAACACTTTGACATTTTAAAAGTAAAATACAAATGTAAGGGAATAGGATTACTAACGTTATTCTATGGGATATGAAACACTTCCCAATTAATTTTCTTTTTAAATCTTATAAACAACCCCTCAGACACTAACAGCACATTCTCCTAAAACCCTGGGCCTGGAGTGGGTGGAGAGAAAGGCCAAATCCTCCCCGGATCCCCACTGCTATGATCCTTCTATCCTTATGTAGAGTCACTGTGATGGTTAATTTCATGTGTCAACTTGGCTGGGCCATGGTGCCAGATATGTGGTCAAACTTTTACTCTGGATGTTTCTGTGAAGGTGTTTTTCGGATAAGATTAACACTGAAATCAGTAGACTGAATAAAGCAGACTGCCCTCTATAATGTGGATGGGCCACATCCCATCAGTTGAAGGCCTTAATAGAACAAAGACTGACTTCTCCCACACAAGAAGGGATTCTGCCAGCAGACTGCCTTTGGACTTGAACTGCAGCTCTTCTCTGGGTACCAGCCTGCTGGTCCACCCTATCAGATTTTAGACTCACCAAGCCTCCACAATCACATGAGCCAATTCCTTAACATCAGCACCTCTCTCTCTCTCGCTCTGTCTCTCTCTGTGTCTCTCTCTGTCTCCACATTCTGTTGGCTCTGTTTCTCTGAGAACCCTGACTAACACAGTCATCTCCCCCTGACACCCATGGCAGGGGATCCAACACTTGGCCTGGTCTTCCATGCTGCTGTCCCCTACTCCCTCCTAGTCACTGAAGACTAGCACCCAGCACATAGGCTGTCTCTTCCACCACAAATCCAGCCCCAATCTAGGAGATTTCAACATTCACCAGGAGGACAACCTCGCATCAGAAGTCCTGAATTCTCCTCCACTTTAGCCACGCCCTCCCAGGGCTAAACCCGGTAACACCCCAATCACTCTACCTGAGAAACATGAGGCATGTAAACCAATATTATCACAGTAATCTCCGACCCTAATTCTGCAAGCCCGTATTCTCTAAAAACCTTTTCTTCAACTTCACAGAGATTGCTGTCTCTCAGCTGCTCTATTTCTGCCCACCTGCTGCTCCTGGCCTCATTTCTTCCCCGAGCCAGCCTGCAGCCCATGGTAGATTAGTCTCCATTCAAGGGATCAATTTCCTCTTTTGGCCTCAACCTACCCAACCAAGCTTCTGTCCCACCACTCTACTGAAAATGATCTGACTAAAGTCACCAATGACCTCCTAATTGCTAAGCCCAACTGCTATTTTATTCACTGCTGCATTTGACAGCAAGATTCCCTCCTTGGTAGCAATATCAGCCTCTACCCCAACACCATCAACGCTGACTGAGCGCTTACCCTGTGCCAGGCTCTGTACTAAGAGTTCTACAGGCATTACCTCATTTAATTCTCACCATACCCCTATGAGGTAGGTGCTATTAGTTTTTCAATCAGTAAACTGCAGCTGAGACAGGGAAGTACCTTGACCAAGTCATCTAGCCAGGAGCAAGTGAAGACAGCACTCTAACCCAAGTCTTCCTGCCTTCAAAGCCCATGAGCTTAACAGACGTTTAAGGGACACCTCTAGACTCTTGGCCTTGGGATACACTCCCTTTGGTCCTCTCAGGACTCTGTCCCCTATCTCTGACTTCACTCTTAAATGGTGATGTTTACTAAGGTTCTATTCTCATTCCACTGTTCTTCTCACTCCCTGAGGGATTTCAATCACTTTTATCTTGTCGACTCTCATCCATATGCTGATATCCCCAATCTTATATCTCTAGACTTCAAGCTTCAGACTCTTTCCTCCAATAGGCTGCTGGACTTCTCCATTACAACGTCTGTCTCGGTTTCAAGTCCACAACCAAACTCAGCTTCCCTTTGAAACTTTTTCTCCTTTTCTTGGTCACAGTTAAACATTAGCCAAGCTAGAAAGCTAGAAGTATTCTTAAGTTCTCCTCTCCCTCATTCTCCACATGCAAACAGTCACCCAGTTGTCCTGATTTTACCCCCAATAGTCATCCCTTCCCCACTCCCTTTTGTCCCATCACCCTTGCTCTGGCCCATAAGAATTTGGCCTAGAGGATACTTCTAGAAGACCCTCCCATCTCTTTCTCCATTCCTGCCTTCAAATCCATCCTTTACACAGCAGATAAGTGATCTCATTAAAACACAAATACAATACCATGCTCCTGAATAAAACATTTCATGACCTCCAATCCCTCACAGAACAATGTGTGAGTTCTATGATCTAGCTTTTTACAATCTGATACCTACCTATTTGATGATGACAACATTTATTGAGAGATTACTATGTTCCAACCTTATTCTTTGCCAGTCTTTGCCTTGAAATCTTCTATCCAAAAAAACCAAATTGCTATAGCTCTCCCCAGACGCCATGATGTTTTTCCCCACGCACCAGGCTATTCCCATTGTCTAGAAAGCCCTCTCTCCCAGCTACACTTCCCCAGGCTCTTTCCTAATTCTGATCCTTTTCAAATACCTAAGAAATTTGATCAAAATATAGATTCTCATGTCCCAGCCAGGGAAACTGGTGGGTCTGGGGTAGGGCCCTACACTACACTTTCAAATTGCAGCCATTAGTTTCCATGGCTGGATAACAAGATTTTTAAACTATGGCTTTAAAATAATCCAAGTTTTACAGCATGCCAGGAAGCCCTACCTCATCACCAGAGTCACATCCCTTGTGATCCCAGAAAGCCCTATGGACATCTCTATCACTGTCCTTGTCACATGTATATAAACAGTACTCTTATGTCTATCTCCCTAACTAGACTATGAGCATCTTAAAGACAAAGACAGTGTTTGCTCTTCTTTGTATCTCTAGAGATAAGAACCATCTCCCAAATTAGCACAGCTTACACTCCACAAAAGCTTAATGGTAACCCAAAATGAGAGACAGACAGATGGACGAACAGTAGGAAGGCAATTATGACTGTCCTCCTTTGGTGTTGGCTATATAATTACCTGTGGAACAGAGCTCGATACGCAGTAAAATATGGGATACCGATGGCGGCTCCTTGTTTAAAGTCCAGTCTTTCTGGCAGTGGGTAAACGGTGTGATCTGCTGCAAGAGCGTACTCGGCATAGCCCCCAGAGATCGTTTTGGTAGTGAACACTCGGTCACCTTTCTGGGGAAAGCAACAAGTTCATAAATGCATCAGGGCTCAAAAATGATGTCAAAATGGGTATAATCCTTTATAATGCACCCCTTATAACAAGAAATAAGTATTTATATATTATATTCTACATCTTCAGGTCTCATAAAATAACTTTAAAATACTGACCGTTTTAAAATGTTTTTTAATGCAAACCAGTAAGACGAAAAATGAAGAGGGATAGGAAATAAGAGGCAAGAGAACCCCCAGAATGGATAACTAAGCTTTCCTGAGAGCTCACTGGGCTAGGCCCTGCATTAAGGGTCTCGTGAATATCATCTAATCGATCTTCACAACAGCCTATGAGGTAAGTACTTTTATTATCTCCACTTTAGATTAATCCCACAATACAGACAAGGAAATTGAGGCAAAAATAAGTTCAGTAACTTGCTCAGATCAAAGCAGTTAGCAAATGGCACTTAATACAAATCATCATTTTTTGCCCAAAATACTAGGGAGAAAAAACAAATAAAATATAAAGTTCTTCTATACACCAAATACCTGTTCTAAATCCTTTCCATAGATTTCTTCACCCCTGCATGTCCCTGATTTTTCATGCATACACCAAAAAGCAGGAAACTCTGCCTGGATCCTGACAGCAGGAAAAGCCAGGACAGGCTTCTTCACTTGTCACGGCACCACACTCACAGCAAACTCTCAATAAACTCGTGCCAGGCCCTCGCTGTTGAACAGCAGAGGCGCAGCCGAGGGCGAGGTGAGGCACTGTGCAAGCCTGACGGGCATGCCCAACAGGACTGCCCGCTAGGACATCAGACTGCTCGCTGCAAACACTGCCCTGACTTCTCTTTCTGGGAAAAAGTGTAAATATTCCTTGGAATGAGTAAAACATTAAGGCAGTAACTGTCAGTATACTTGAATTTGTCCTGTAATAAAGAGACCTGAAAAAGTAACACACTATGCGTGAGGGATCGACAAACAAGATTCAGCAGCATCTTGGAGTCAAAGACAAGCATCAGCGCTTAACGGCGCTGCCTGCAGATGGTCAAGAATGACCATGGTTAAGATTAATCTTGTTTTTACAGCTTAAACACAGGTTGCACTGATTTCTGTACAATGAAACAGTCACTAAGAATCTACTATACAGGAAGCATTGCTTTGAGCTCTGTGAGGGATACTAATAGCAAGACACTCTCCTTAATCTCAAGCAGCTTAAACTCTAGGAAGAGATAGAAGAAAAGGACAGAAATAATTACAAAGCAAGGCAAACATGATGAGCCATCAAAGATAAGTACAAGAAAAAGAAAGGAATTATTGCTAGGTTGAGGGACTCAAGAATAGCTTCACTGAGAAGCTAATATTTGAGGTAGGTCTTGAAGGATAGGACAAGATTTTGAAAAGGAGAACTGGGAAGAGTCATTAGGAGTGAAGGAGACAAACTAAAGAAACAGTGACAGGAACAAATGCTGAGAAATCGCCAGCATTCATTCCCAATGAGTAAGTGGTCCAATGTACAGAATGTAATCGTTTCAGGAGATAAAATGAAAAGAAATTAAAGCTGGAGTGTGAAATCCCTTGAACTCAGGTTTATAAGTTTCAGTTTAATTCTGCCAAGCAGAAGAACCAGTAGGAACAAAGACAAAGAGATGAAAGAGCATGGGACGTACAGGAAGAACCCAGCTCATTACTAAAGAATAAACTACAGGGTGAGAAGGAATGGAAGATAAGAAGGGAAAGATAGGTGGGAGAGAGAGCTTGAAACAGTCTTCTTTCATAACATAAGCAGTTTCAACAATACCCTGAAATCTAGAAGGAATTAATGCAAGAATTAAAATAGAGGCGTAAAACAGTCAGAATTACATTTCAGAAAATCACTTCTTATAGAGCAAGGAGAAATTCAAGGGGAAGGAGGGAGGGAGGTAAGTTAAGTGTTTATTATAGAAATCTGGGTAAGGGACTAGGTAAAATAACCTGAATGAAACTATAGGCATTAAGAATGGAAAGAGGAGAGAGAAAAGGCTTCTAGAAAGGGAGAGCTGAGTGAGGGAGAGTGAAGACGTAAGTCTCAAACCCCAGAAGTCACCAAGACAGTCACACGAGAGAGGAGCAGATCTGACGTGAGAAAAGACGAACTCAGTTTTAGACACACTGAGTAAGAGGGTCCTGGAGGCTGACGATGGGGTCCCATTCTCTCCAACACAACTTTCTGTGCTAACGGAAATGGTCTACATCAGTTCTGTCCAATAGGGTAGCCACTAGACGCATGCGGCTATTAGGCAGTTGAAATGTTGCTAGTGCAACTGAGGAACCGAACTTTTTATTTTAATTTAATTTGAATTTTAAATAGCCACATGTGGCTAGTGGCTACCCTATTGGACAGCACAAGTCCAGAGCTTAGTAGAAAACTCTAAGCTAAGGACGTCACAAGTGATAATGGAAACCATGGGGGTGCATGAGGTCATCATGAAGAAGGTAAGAAGACAGAGCAGAGGTCTAGTTGTGGACTGAGACTCTTGGGCAACACCAAGATTTGAGGAGCATCCAGAGAAAAAGAGGCTTGAAAAAGGATGACCAGAGAGGAAGCAGGGAGGAGAGCAGGAGAAAATGGTGTCACAGAAGCTGAAGAAAAAGTTTTTTTTTTTTTCTTGTGAGGAAGATCAGCCCTGAGCTAACATCCAATGCCAATCCTCCTCTTTTTTGCTGAGGAAGATTGGCCCTGGGCTCACATCAGTGCCCATCTTCCTCTACTTTATATGGGATGCTGCCACAGCATGGCCTGACAAGCGGTGTGTCGGTGCATGCCCGGGATCCAGGCCAGTGAACCCTCGGGCTGCCGAAGCGGAGTGCGTGTACTTAACCCGCTGCGCCACTGGGCCAGCCCCGAAAAAGTTTTTTAAGAAAGAGTAAGTGGCTGAGAGTGTCAAATGTCACAGAGAAGTCAAGAGAGATAATGACATAAAAGGGCCCATTAACTCCAGCAATACAGACGCCATTAGTGACATTAGCAAGACTCCTTTCAGTGGAGAGATGGGGGCAAAAGCCAGATTGCCACAGACTGAGGAGGGGACAGTGTAGGAATCCGCTTGCCTTCAGTGTAGGGCGCCGTTAATCTACTCAGTCTCAGTCCAATTTTGATAAATGTGCTGCCCAAGTTGAGCAGGTCAAGGAATTATGAGGAAAGATGATAGACCACGAATATGTTATCTATGTTTTCTAAGTCTTTTGGCATATAAATAACAAAAGCCCTGATTATAACAGTCATTGACTCAATCCCCTTTGTCTGAGTCACAGCTCTCAACATGTATATGACCTTGCATTTTTTCATCTTTTACTTCTTCAAAAGATTTAGCCTTTCCTTTACTCTGTGAAGCTAAATTTATAGAAGGAATTAAAAATTATGTTGGCTTGGGTGTTATCAAGAGTTAGGAAATAGTATAATTTCCTTGCTTGTTGTCTTTCCTTAAGTATTTCTGCTAAATCAAAGGGAAAACAGTCAATTCTGTGGGGATGTGAAGATAGAGAAATTACCCAGCACTTATCCCCAACAACGCAAACAAGCAAGGCCTCTGGATAAAAGGTAATTTCTTTTTTGACTAGAGGAGTCCCCCAAGTGGTAGAAATTGTGTAATGGGGCCTTTTAAAGACTTAACTACAGACACATTTTAAAGCTCTGTTAAGATATTTTAAGAAAAAATATTAAGCCAAAATAGAAATAATTAAAAATGTAATACCTTGAAAGCAGATACATTATCTCCAACAGCTTCTATTACCCCAGCCACATCTGAACCAGGAGTATAGGGTAAGAGTGGTTTTATATTGTGAGTGCCAGAGCGAATATATGTCTCCACTGGGTTGACACCACATGCGTGGACTTTGATTAGAACCTGCAAAGAAAATGTATTTGAGTTGACACAGAGCATTTAGGTATTCATTCAGCATTATGCTAGGACTATACTGATTATGGGGGCTATAAAAATGGAGGAAAAAACCTTGCCACCAGTGAGCCCACATTCCAGTTTTGCAAACCAACAAACAAATAAAAAGATAAGACAGAATGGTTTATGTGGTATATTAAAACATTTTGGGAAAATAGTGGTGGAAATATTTCAGGGGACGTGTGGCAGAGACCTCTATGTGCTCATGCAACCTATTTCCTTCTCCTCTTTGGTACTGTGGGGAATCAGAACTGGCCACCTCAAGAACAAAAGACTCTGAAAGAAACTTTGACCTCCTCCCCACTAACCACCTAAAAGAATTTAAGATAGAAGGCCTGTCCCCAGGACAGGCCATCACCATAGATAACTCTGGGTATGGATAGACTGGGAGGGTCCTTGCTAAGCCCATTCTTATCAAACCTCTGAAAACCAAGTAAAATTAGAAGGGACATTTATATTTGTAAGAGAAATCTCCATTAAGGGGGGATGACCTTATCTCCAGAAACTCTTATCAGTGTGGAAGGCAAGGACTGAAATCTGCATATTAACCTTACATTGTTTTACTGTGCATTTTTGTTATCTCCCACAGCTGACTCCCCTCACTGCCAACATCCTCCTTTGTCTTTAACTGAAGATAGTGTTTAAGATGAGAACCTCCGCCACTTTGTTGAGTTACCCAGTTTTTCCGAGGTCTCTCCCATGTATACATGTTATAAAGCTTTGATTTTCTCCTGTTATTCTGTCTCATGTCAATTTAATTTGTAGCCCAGCCAGAAAGGACCCAGAGTGGGTAGAGGATAGTCTTCCTCCTCTACAGTACATATGAAGAATATTATTTCTTGGCTTCCCTCACAGTCATGAGAAGCCAAAAGTTTGAGTTCCAGCCAACGGAATGTGAGCAAAAGTGCTAAGAACCACTTTCAGGCCTGGCCCATAAAGACCTTCCTAGGCAATCCACAATGGGCTTCCTCCCTTTCATAGTGACCTCAGAAGACAGGTGTTCAAGGTGGCAGGGCCACATGATAGAGGACACCTGAGTCCCCAAATCACTGAAGGAAGAAGGCTACCCACAAACACTTTAGAATTTTGGAATTTAGTGAATGAGGAATAATTTTCTACTGTTGAACCACTCAGATTTTGAGGTTACATCTACTATAGAAGCTAATTTTACCTTAATTAATACAAAATGATTACTTCTGCTATAAGAGTAAGGGAAGGCCTTACAAAGGAAGTGGTAGTTGAGCCAGGCCTTAAAGGATGAGTAGAAATTCTTTTGGAATGGGAGAAAAAGGATGTTTCAGGTAAAAGGAATAGTATGTGCAAAAACAGAAGGAATGAAAGGGCCACTTGGGGAAACCAGAGAAAGCCTGATGCTGTTACTATACAGTCTACTGAGAAGGAGTGATAAGAAATAAATCTATAGAGATGGTTATGGCCAACTGTAAAAACTCTCATAAGGCTTGCTAAAGAAATTAGATTTGGGAGTCATGGAAGGTGCAGTAATGAAAATACATAATTTTTATTGAAAAAGTATACTGTTAAAGTCACTGGAAATGATTAAACTCTACATTTAAATTCTCCTAAATCATACGCAAGAAAGCATGTATGCAGAAGAAAATAGTTTTCCTACCGTGTACAAAATAAAAATCATGAAAGATTGTAAAAGAATAACTTGCTTAAAACTACTTATGACTCCATTCAGAAAAATCCAATATCGCACTGCAGAGATGATTCTCAACTTCAACAATTTTCTCATAACAGGATGTTACTCCTTTTCATACATCTACTGCACTAATTATTAGAATGAAGGTATCTCTGTCAGAGCTCATAGACAGAAACAGTGTAAACTTTGCGTAATTCAGTCTTCACAAATCACTGTGGGTCTGCTTCTTCTGAACACTAACTTGATGTGCCAGAGCCTCACACTCGTGTAATGATTGCCCGTATTTAAGTAATTATTTCCACCTGACGGTCTTTTGGAATTGGCACTGCAACATCCGACAGGAGTTTCAGCACTTCTGGTCCACCAAATTCAAAAACTCTAATAGCTCTCATCAACTTCTGTCCAGTTGCCATGGTGATCTAGATACTAAAAAAAAAAAAAAAAACAATTAACGTATTGTCCTATTATATGTAGGCTATCACTATGTTTTCTCCCCTGAAGGGGGCAGATCAAACAATTTTTCAACAACAGTTGAAATCATGAGCCTACCACTGATCTCATTTCAAGTTTAAGGACCTTTCATCTTACAAATCCTTCGCCTTACAAAGCAAATACTTCATACTAATTCCTGTGCCTTCAACAAGGGACTCAAACACGCAAACAAAAACATCTGGATAGACACAGCATGCTACAACACCTCAGGTTTCCTTTTGTATAAGCTTGGGCTGCAACACCTTGTAAATATTAGAAGCTAATGTAAGTGTTATTAACATTAGATAAATAGGTATAAAAAAATAAAGAATATAATAAACCCATTTACCTGCCACCCAGCTTTAACAAATCTTAACATTTTAAAAACCTAACACATGACAGATAGAACCGAAGCCTCCTGTACCCATCCCCAAACCCATTTCTGTCCCACCCTTCGAGGGGTGGTATTACCATAAACTCCACACTCGCCATTCCCAGCCATGATGTTATTCCACTACTACACGTGGACCCAGTAGTAAACAATATGTGCTATTGTTCTGCATGTTTGTCAACTACATTTAGATCATGTCATACTGTACTTAATTCTGCAACTTGCTTTTCTGTCTCAGCATGAAGTTTTTGGGATTTTATCAATGTTGAAACACTTGGCTTTATGAAGTTCCTTCATTTTAACAAAGGAGGAAAAACATTAAAAACTAAAAACGCAGCTTTCGTAACACTGTATGTCAACCATACTTCAATAAAAATAATTAAATAAATAAAATAAAACACTGCTTTGTATGTAATCTTTTGTAAATTACAATGGTAATTTACAATTAACCTTTTCTGTCCTACCACTGTTAATTTTAAAATGAAAAGAAAATTCAGAGTTAAAATAAACTCAAAGAAAAGGTAAGGAAAATTTGTACATGAAATCAGACAACTTTGGAAATTTTCCATTCCTACAGAGTTGTAATGAAAGAGTTCTGACTGTATCTCCATAATGTTATTTGTGCATTATCACAATTTCTTGAAATTACCCACATCAAACATTGTTCGACTCTGCCACCGCCTAGAACATCTTCGCTAACTTCTGGAATAATCGTATTCATCAACCATGAGTAGCTGAAACGTCAAAGAGTTGCACAAAGTAGGACTTGAGATGAAAGAATTCAGACTTTCACTGTATTGAAGCTCAGCACAGCTCTACTCAGAACAGAGCCCATGCTAACTCTAGAATGTCACTCCATGCATGGGGGAGTCAAACGCATCTTGATGGTGTTACTAATGCAAAGTTCCTGAGATGATTAATCAAAAGTTGTGTCATTTTAAAACCTCATGTTTAAAATAATTTAATATAGTACTTAGCACAGAGAATAATAAATTTTCCCTTGCTAAAATGTTGTTTAGCAACGAGATATCCCGAAGGGCAGCCCTGGAAGAAAAGGGGGCAGAAGTGGACGGAAAGCCTAAACCTACCCACCCTGGGGAGGAGCTGGGCGGGCCCTGAGTGCCGAGCCCTGTGTCGAGAGCTGGCACTGGGAAGGCGCTCACTCCACACCTACCCAGGGCCTCCTTACTGCATTTCTATTTGGGTCTTCACTCAAGCTGGTATTTCTTAGACAAGAAAGTGAAAAAATAAAGAAAAATAAAACAGAAAAAGAAAAGGTTGCCCAGATCAGATTTTCCATTCTGGAACTAAGAACACAGCTTTTTTTTTCTTTTTTGTCTTCAGCATAGTGTTATGGAAAGAATATGGGCTTTGGAATCTGACAGCTCTCAGTATGAATCCCAGCTCTATCCTCATTTACTAGCCATGTGGCCTTGGGCAAGGCAGTCAATTTTTTTTTGGTGAGGAAGATTAGTCCTGGGCTAACATCTGTGCCCATCTTCCTCTACTTTATATGGGACGCTGCCACAGCATGGCTTGACAAGCGGTGCATCGGTCCAGGCCTGGGATCTGACCCTGCGAACCTCACACCTCCGCAGCCGAGCGGGTGAACGTAACCGCCATGCCAGCGAACTTACCCGGCCTGCGTCAGTCAACTTTTTGAGCTTCTTCATCTGAAAACTGAGCTCCTACTCATGGTTACTGTGCTAGAGACATGGTGAGATCAAGCACAAAACCTGGCAAATGTTGACTCCTATGGATAGCAGATATCAGCATTGCCTTCCCATCCATTTTCTCCCTTCCAATTTCTTATTCATTAAAATGTTCTCAATGCTATTATTCTATAATCATCTTTGATTGAATATAACAATATTTCAGGACTCTGGTTGTAAAAACAAGTCCTTAGCCTCAAAGTGTTCACAGTCTAGAGAATCATTTAAACAAAACATTAATACCAAACACGGGTTGTTATTCACTCAACATGTATTTTTTGAACATCAACTGTAAGCGAGGCACTGTCCTAACCTCGAGAACACAAAGGGCAAAGAGAAACCGACCAGCCCCTCCCCTAGCTCCTGCCCACTCTGGGCCCTCATTCCCTCACACATGTACACGCACGCCATGTAAGATCCGTAGCTCTTTTCCACTTCCAATATCTACCTATTTCCTACCTATTTCTTTCTTTCAAGCACTCCCATCTGTCTTTTCACCCACAGACATCACTATTATCCTCAAAAAACTGTAGCAAGAATAAAAGCAAAATTAGCCTGAAATAGGACGTCAAAAATACTTAGCACCTACATTTTGACATTTGCTAAGTTGGGAGAAAAGAACAAAGGAAGGAGGAGACATCCTTAATACTGGATCTAGAAGACCCCTCCTGCATCCCTCAGTACTTCCCCCTCATCCTATCAAGCTTGTAAGGAGACGGGGCATGACCTTGACAGCTCTGTCTTCCACTTCAATTCTGGGGCTGATATTTCCGACTGAGCCTTTGCCACTATGACTGATCAGGCTCCAATCTTTGAACCCCCTCAACTACCCAGAGGATCATCATCTGCTTCATCATACAGGTGTTACATCAAAAGGAATAATAAAAAGACTAAAATAACACAAATACACTAATAGTAATTATGATCATTCTTAAACCCCTGCAATACCTGATTTCTTCTAAAAAGCACATCTTGGATGGCCATTGATATAATTATTGTTACAATATGTAGAGAAGCAAGTTATTAAAACCAACATTTAATTGTATGCAGAAATGGAAATAAAACTCTACTGATTTTATGGATGAGGAGACATTCCAAGAAGTTAAGAGACTCACCAGGGTCACACAGAAGCAGAGCTGGAACCCAAGTCCTACACCTCTGAAAAAAAGGAAACAAGAGCCCCAAAATGGGGTCACTTGCCTCAGGACAGCAAACCAAGACTTAATATCTAACCTAATTGCAGTTTCAGCCTCTCCCAGGAATGTGACCTCTAACCAGTTAATCTGGAATCGCCTAGTCAGGACTAGAGAGGTCATCTGCACAACAGACCCCTGCCCTCCCCACAAAGGAGGTGACCTTGTCTGACACAATCCACTCTTTGTTGGAAACTTCCTTTTTCCACCCCCTTCTGCCTATAAAAGCTTTCCACTTTTTACAGCTCCTGGGAGCTCCTATCTATTTGCTAGATGGGATGCTGCCCAATCCATGAATCCTTGAATGTAGCCAATTAGATCTTCAAATTTACTCAGTTGAATTTTGTTTTCTAACAGCCTTAAATGTTGTTAGGTGATTTTTTTCCCTTACTGTACAATCCTTTTCATCTCACCCTTTGAAATGTTGGCATAGAGGACCCTTAATTTCCTAGAGAGATACTTTATATAATGATGATGGTGACAGTGAGACAGACAGAGCTGGGAAATTCAACTAACCTGCAGGGGGGATTACATAGTTTATGATTAAAACATCTGCTCAGAGTTTGAAATTTCTCAAATGCCCATAAGTTAGCACATGATTCTATTAGGAAAACTCACAATTTCCTTTTCTGTAAAGTGGGGCCAATACTCCCCAGCATAGGATCCTTGTGAAGAGGAGCTACAACAGCACGTGGTGACTGCTCCACAGCACACCTGGCATGCAGTAAGCTCTGTTATTCAGAGTAAATCATTGGCAGTCAGCAGGCCTGTCACGTTGCTTGTGTTTTTTAATGAAACTGTACTTCAAATAGGTTTTTCTATTTATCAAATATAAACTTTAAAAAGTTATTTAGAGTACCCTGGTTTAATTTTTGGTTTTACTTTCTACCTACGAAAGGTTGCCAACCATACTTGGCAAATCTAGAAAATACAGAATTTAAATTCTTCCTCAGTGATCTTTTCCATGCTACGCTTGAATCCATTTGGTTTAAATAAAAATTAAAGGAACAGGAAAAAATGTTAGAAATATATTTTAACACAGAATGAACACGTCGATTCACAAAGCAAGGCAAACGCCCATTATAAGAAAAAAGTAGAAGTAAAATTAAATAAGAATTTCTGCCAAGAAATTAAAAAAATAAAAGCTTGGAAGGAGAATCAAGCATGACAAAATGGGCTGCTGTTGATCAAGAACGACTCATGTAAGCATATTACTTATTATTCTCGACCCAGAAAAAATTTAAAAAATTAAAACTGGCCAAAGAAAAGTCTCTTCCTGGCTGTGTGACCTGTTCACTGGTCTGGATCTCAGGGTCCACTTCTGATAAGAAGGGGTGGGGGAGGAGTTGAACAGACCCTACTACCAGCCCCGCGCCCCCGGTTCTCTGATGAAAGGACTGGATGGCACTGGGCAGGCTGCTCCCCAGTGTTGGCGGCGCAGGCTGGTGGGATTATTTGCGGCTGCCGACCGGACACTCACCGGGCGCCCGGTCAGCAGCAGTGGGAATCACAAAGCCATTTCCACCAGCTGCGGACGAACAGTCCAAAGTTTAGTCTTTAAATGGTTCAATCATTAACACACCTTCCCCGGTCACTGAGACAAGTCTCCTCTAGGAACTACGTAAACACCTAAAATGTTTTAACAGAGTTTGTAATTTTTTCCCTTTGAAGATTATTCTAGGTGGAGGCCATTGGGGAAAAAAGTCAAAAGAAGACTACACATTTCTCTCCAAAAGTAAGAAGGCAGCACTGATGGCAGAGCAGGAGGGCCGGGCGCAAAGGGCTCCGGGAGCCCTGCAGCCGCGGGACCCGAGCAGGAGAATCCGCTGCCGCCGGAATCCCGAGGCCCGGGCCGGACCGCGGGGAAAACCAAGCGGGGGGCGGCCGGGGGGCGGGAGGCGCCAGGGCTGGGCGCTCAGACCAGCAGGTCCAGTTACCCTGGAGAGTTGCGGATGAGGAACTTGCAGCTCCTGGGGGAACGTGGCTTCGGCCAGGAGCCGCTAAGTCAGCGGGTCTCTGGCAGGACAGTGCGCCCGACAGCGGCGCGGCCACAATCAAGCTCGGCTCCGTGTGGACGAGCGGCGGGGACGGCCGCTGCCTGAACTACTAAGGGGACTTTTTTAGACCACTTACCCGTTCTATAGTGGGTAATCAAAGTCTGCGAGGGCTCTGACGGATTCTACAGAGAAGGGGGGCGGGCCCGGCCCTCTTCTACGTTTGCGGGCTCCGCCCGCCCCCAGAGGACGCCACGAGAGTCTCCCGAGTTCGGAACGACGAGGAAGTTTGGACCTGTTCGGCCACCACTCGCTTCAATATGGCTGCCCCCAGGGAAAGGCGACGGCGGACGTGCAAGTACAGACCCTAAATCCCTCATCACATGGATCGTAGCGCGGAGTTCAGGAGATGGAAGGCGCAGTGTCTCAGCAAAGCGGACCTCAGCCGGAAGGGCAGTGTGGACGAGGATGTGGTAGAGCTTGTGCAGCTCCTGAATGGGCGAGAAGAGTTTTTCACCACCAGTTCCTGCGCTGGCCGCGTCATCCTCCTAGACGGGGTGAGCCCCCTTTGTGCCCTGCCCGCGCCTGCCCCGTAGTGTGCAACACCAGGAGCCCTGTGCCCACCCCGTGCAACACCCCCCAGTCCAGCCTGTCGGTGTTTGTCCTTCTGGTGGGTGGTCTCTGTTTCTTTATCTTTGAAACTTCCCGGGTGAATTGGACCAGTGATTCTAAAACTTTAATGTGTCTATTAATCACCCGGGGATCTTTTAAAGTACAGATTCTGATTCTGTAGGTCTAGGGTGGAGCCTGATACTCTACATTTCTAACAAGCCCCCAAGTGATACGGAAACTGCTGGCCTGGGAATGATCTTGAGTTGCAAGGGTTAGAGAATTTGATTCTCTGAATACCGAGAGAACTTAAAGACTTTCCAGCCTGGGGAGGCTGGCGTGTCCTCTTCAACCGCTCTGTCGTGGGAACTACGTACTTGGTTGAACGTCGCCAGGGTTAAGGAGTTCACTGCCTCCTAGTGGCCCACTCCATCATTACAGCTCTGGTAATTTTTACATTACACTAAGTAGGACAGTACTATATAGTCCGAGATGTGGCCAAGCCCACAGGCTTTGGAGTGATACTGCTGAGATTCTAACCCAGTTATGGGAATTATTGGCTATGTGACTTTAGGAAAGTTATCTAAACTCAGCCCCTTCCTGTTCCATGAACTGAAGATAATAAAGAGTATCGGCTTCATAGGGATTTTGTGTAGAGGAGATGGTTTGAAACATTTAGCACCGTGCCTGGCCCATATTAAGTGCACTGTAAAAGTTTTTTGTGTTAATTTTAGTTTGTGGATTGAATTCAGAGCATGAAAGACAGCGCACTCATATGCTCATTCTTTAGATCCCTCACTGATCATCTGCTGGTCTCCCCAATTAGTGGGCCTGTTCATTTTTATTTTGCTTCCATTGCCTCCTGAGCACTGGCACTTGTGCTGGGCTGGCTTTCTCTCTTCTGCATTTCTGCTGCCCTATCTTATCTGGATTTCTGTGGTGGTTTCCTAACAAGTCACTGAACTACCCGTCTTTCTACCCCAAACCATGTTACACACTGTGAACAGATTCACCTTTCTAAACCACAGCTCTGTGCGTGTCAGTCATCTATGCTGAAATCTTTTATTACACATTTTTTGACATGAGAAAATCCAAACCCCTCCTCTTGTATATCTTTCAACCCTATTTTCTCCTACTTCTCTTCATCTTTATTTACCAAACTGGACTATTCTCTTTTTCATCTTACATCACCTGCCTCTCTCATGTTCATCTTTCCTGAAGTGTTTTCTCCATCTTTGCATATCTGAGACATGACTCCCCAAATTTCCCTCTCTCACCCAAACACAAACACACACATCCACATCCACTTGGAAGGAATGACTGCTTCTTCTGAACTGCCTTAGGACGTTTTCTGAACCTCTTTTCATTTTATGTATTATCTCATACCTTGTGTTTATTTTCACTTTGCCTTATTTCAGGAAGGATTTGGAACAACTTATGAAAAGGCAATACAAGAAGAAAAATAAAAAGTGGGAAAGTCTGGATAAAGGGAGTATAAATAACATGAAGCCAGTGATAGCATTAGTTCTGAAAACATGCCACTAGATTCTGCAAATTTGCTAGAGGTGGGCCACACATTTGGCTCTTAGAGCGGTCAGCATAAGATCAGATACATAAGTCATTGAGGTCATTCAGTGAAAACAAACCAGTTATTTAAGACAAGGGCAGCTCTTCCCCATTCCAAGGCCAGAGAGCAGAGTCTCCTGTGGCCCCGCTGTATAGTCACTTTGTGAAAGTGTAGTGATTTCAAAGTCACGTGCGTTCCTACATCCTCTTTCCAGTATCCTTGAGGGTAGAATCTGTTTATACCCAAAGTACCTATTAGAACTTTGCAAATAAATGTTTTCCCAGTTAATAAGCAAAAAATTCAGTGTTAAAATATTTGCCTTCTTTAAACTTTGCCCTTTCAGTCCTAGCTGTGCCCTTCGGGGCTACATGTAAAGTCTAATCCAGAGGTCACACTTTTCTGCCTGTGGAGATTGGAATGTATTAAAGGTGTGAACGGCTCAGGTGTCAGTAAAAGGTGGTGGGTCCTGTGTGGGATTGGAACAATGCTTTCTTACAGAAGGAATTCAAATTTTTTTTTCTGTTTTACTTTTTTAATATCGTGCTAGCCAAACAAAACAGCTCGAGTACAACTCAGGGCTTACTAGTGTACAACCCTTCTAATAATCACTTTTCTCCTGACAAAAGCGTGACCATGTTTCAAAAAATATTTACTAAGTACTTTTACCTTAATAAATAAATGATTTTCTTTCTATCTCAAGTAATTTGGTTTCATTTTTATTTGGGGTTAACTCTACCCAAAAGGCTACTGAATTATTTTCAGTAATACTTAAAAACACCACTTGGCATTATTAATTTAATAATTAATAAATATTAATTTAAGAAAGCCTACAAAATGCTATGCTATGCATTGTACTTATTATTTTTGTAAATATATTATTAAGTTAAATTATTTTATTTTTTTATTTTAGGGTATAAATGGTTTTAAAGTTCAAAAACAAAACTGTTGCTGGCTACTGGTTACACACAAACCTTGTGTAAAAGATGATGTGGTAAGTTTTTATATATAAATTTAGAAATAAAGTTATTAATTTGCAGTCACTTTAAATACATGTGAAAAGAATAGAAAATTCAGGGTGACTTATGTGCATGATTAGAATGACTGAAGGTTATAAAGCCTAAGGAGCATTCATTACAATGGCTTATTTGAGTTGTAGGAGATGAAAGTGTAAATATATATGTAAACATTACTTATGGCTGCTCAACAAGGCTATCCTCTTGGACATAGCAGAGAGTTCATGGACGTTGCACACATATTGGATCCAAATTTTGATTTCATTTCTGCCATTTGATAACTCTGTAACCTGGAACAAATTGTGAAAGGAGAAGGGAGCTAGGAGAAAGGGATTAGAACTATTTATGTATTACCAGCACACGGATGTAAATAAATTATACATTACTTACCTGGACTGCTTCTTGAACATCTTCCTATCTGTGCTGGATTATTTAGTTTCCTACATTAAAATGTTGAGATGAGTTCATATAAGTTTGTATTAGTCAAGCGCTTGACATTCCCAGTGAATTTAGAAATCCAATTCTAACTATCTTAAGCAAAAAAGATAATTCAGTTAACTGGAAAAGGCAGGAGTAGACCTGGCATTGGGCGTTCCTGGGTCAGGTGCTCCCATGCTGTCTTCCGAGTACTCAGTGTGCCTCCATCTCTGGGCCCTGGTGCTCTCTGCATTTTGCCCTTATTCTCTTCTGCTGCAGGTGGTCTTTGTGGCAGGAAAGATAGCTGCCAGCAACCCCAGCAGAAAAAGACTTCTTCCTCAGATCCATGTGTCATTCCCAGAGAAGGACTCTGAGTCATCCTGCTTGGGTTAGGTTTCTCCCCTGGCCTTGATCAGACCAAGGCCCTTGGCGTCTCTGATATTACAATGGCAGGACTGATGAGTGGCAGGGTCACGATTGATAGTCCCACCAGAATCAAATGGTGTGAAGGAAGGAGGATGCTGCCCAGGGATACTAGGCAGAGATTACAACTGCGTTATGTAAATTCCAGCTCAGACATAATAGTACGTGTCTTAAACCTGAGTCTAACAACAGAACATTTAAACAGACTTTCTAGTCTCTCTTTACATACCATATTGCTTAATGAAAAATCTGTTATGGAATTAAATAGAGTGGTGGTAGTTTACTTTTTCAAGGTATGGTTGGAAAGAATGACACAGAAGGTTTATGGGAGAATTAGAAATCAAGTCTTTAAAAAAATAAGCAGATTAATAAGTTTTTGGAGAAAGAGGACTAAGAAAGCAGAGTGAAAAGTTATTGCAGAAAAAGGCTCCTGAATGAGTCTCAAAGTTTCTGGGAAAAACTGAAGTTATGTATGATAAAGAGTCTTCAAAGAACAGGATCATATATTTGTGTCTGATACAAACATTTTCCATTTGTTTAGATTGTAGCGCTGAAGAAAGCGAATGGTGATGCCACTTTGAAATTTGAGCCATTTGTTCTTCATGTGCAGTGTCGACAGCTGCAGGATGCACAGATTCTGGTAAAATTTTGCAATTATTCTTGAATTTATAGGTATGGGGTAGATTGAATTTTAAGCTTTAACTCTCCTACCAAAAATTAATGTGATGTTAGTTTACTCAACTAGTTTTTTCATTTAATTACAGGTTTGGGGTTATATATGTTTCAGCAGTTTGTAGATCCAAACAGTTTATCTGATTAGCCAGATTATGAGAATTTAACAAATTTATTTTCTTACAGCATTCAGTGGCAATAGATTCTGGTTTCCGGAACTCTGGCATAACAGTGGGAAAGAGAGGAAAGACTATGTTGGTAAGATACCTTTTGGCAAAAAGCAATTCTTTGAGTGTGAAGTGATCCAGATGATTGGACCCTTTGGTCTCTCCCTATTCACAGCTTCTTGCCATTCCCCTGCTCAGAAACCCTCGGGGACTTACTCTTTCCTCCAGGGCAGAGTCCGGAGTTGTTAGATTTACATTTCCAGTCTTATTTTATAGTATGCTCCTCCACTTACTTATCACCTGATTCTCTGTGC